TTAGGCTATCGCTACTAGGGTGGAGGCCATCGCTTCTAGGGTGGAGGTCATCACTCTTAGTTTTCATCGATTCAGGAGGTGCTCGATGCATGAAGTAAGATCCTGCGTTCGTCAAGCTGCGTGAAGATCCTGCATAACGCTGGTGATGAACACCATGGACCAGTACCGCTACAATCCGCTGCACCTTCCGCGGCGATTCAAGTTCCAAGGGGATGCAGCAGTTGGTCCAATCGACAGAAACAAAGACAATACTCAGGACTCACGGTCTGCCCTGGGGGGCCTTGGGTGGGGTGCTCAACTGAGGGACGGCTTTTTAGGCTTGGGCGATGGGCTTGGGCGATCGGATGACCAAGTTTTTATAGATTCTTATAGGGACGCTTGTTCAATCCACGCGTTTATTTTCAACAATGATGAAGTTCCTAGCAATTTCATGCCAAGTGCAAACCCTAAACCCTAACATCCCTAGTTGATTGGCGTGGAGCGAACCATGCATCCAAATGCTCATACTGTGGTAGTGAGAATGGTCACCCGTCTTGCATGAGAATGCGGGGTAGTTTCACTTGTGGCAGGATGCCGCAGTGCTGCAAGCCACATGGAATCCTCCAACTCCTCCATGTCCCCATCTTTCTTCGACAGACAAAGTAAAACCAGGGACGCCGGCCTCAACTGCAGGTCATTCTTCTTCGCTTGTTTGAGGTGCAAAGCATAGTATCCTGATCTGTGGAGATGAGAAAGTGAAAAGTATTTCTTCCTTGAAGACACAGGGCTGTGGACCATGGATTGCAACTTTTGGAGGGTAGTAAGGACCTTACACTGTTTGGGTTCTAGCAGGTAGGAAGATAGGTTGGGTTGGAAACCAGGTCAGTAGGTGGGTCGGTAGACAGGTCTCAAAGTATGTTGGACCTACAAACAATCGGATCACAACCGAGTAGGCATCATGCTGCTCTCGTGAGGCGAGTTGGGCCGCAGTGGAGGTTTGGCTGCTCTGAGATCCGACAGGCTCGCTTTTTCATTCAGAGTCCCCGCACGCCAAGCATCATCGACCTCCAACTCCACCTGGGGGCGGGGGTGAAAAGACCCAGTTGGGATCCCCATCATGGCTCGTTGCATGCTCTTTGATGGGAAGGTGCACAACAGTTTCAACACAATTGACTATACTTGATTCATCCTGTCGACCGATATCAAAGGTTGCACAGATTAAGCTGTCAAAGACTGAAGAAGAACCCTGAACCGTGAAAGACTGGACATGAACTAAAGCTAGCTGTTTTGACTGTGCTTCCTTCCTGGTAACAGTTATCGTCGGAACTAAGTTTCCGAATCAGAACTGACTAATTGCAACATGTTCGGAATGCTCTGACAAGCCCAGGGTCTGTCTTTATAGGGTTCCCTCCAAATAGTACCGAAGAGCTTCATCAGCATTGACTTCCACGCCCCAAACCCATTGAGGCACTTGAAGGCGACGCAGGTGAGCTATCGCCAACATCTCAGAAGCTCATATTTACATGGTGTTTTTAAGGATCAAAGGTCCTGTGCACAAATCCCAAACTGAAAATACCTGGTGGTGCATGCTTCGAATGATTCAACGCAACCATTCTCATATCCTGTGGTTTCCTATAATACACATCTCTTTTTGGGTCTCGTTCCGACCGAACTCGGTCCATATCTGTTCATTCTGTCCGGTTCATCCGGATCATCTTCCTCATCCCCAGAATCTGGCGGCGTAGGACGTTGTACGGACCGGCCCCTGACTCTTCGCCGTTCTGACCGACGCGCCGTGTCGTACCTTCACCGCATCCGGGGAGCGTTGCACCCGTCCGCGAAGGCTTTCGAGTTCCTCCTGGCCAGGGGCACGGGCTGCCAGCGCTATGACCAGCACGCCGACCACGTGCTCTGCTCAAGCTGCTTCGGTGTTTCTCCGGGAAGGCTTCGGGGCTCGATGGGTTTCCACAAAGCCACGGAGAAACCTCAGAACCTGAGAGAAACCACGGAGAGGCCGGTTTCGATAGAAACACCCTGTTGAGATCCATCGATTAAACATATCTACGAGGCACCCGATCTTTTAGAAATCACACCCGCGCGGGGGCAAGGGGGCATGGAGTGATGGAAAAGTGCACGTGACTTTTGGGCTGCAACACGAACACAGCAATATAAATCACGAGAAGACCAGTGTTTCACGACGTATATAGTGTATTCAATTGTATAATCCGCCGACCCCACACCGTGGGGTGAGGCGTGACTGTCGATGTTAGCCTGAGCCTTAAGCCTTAGCCTTAGCCTTATCCTTAAGCCTTAGCCTTAGCCTTAGACTTAAGCCTTAGCCTTAGCCTTAGACCTAGTCCTTAGCCTTAGACCTAGACCTTACCTCCCCTACCCCTCCGGACCCTTGTTGCAGTGACGAAATCCCGACCCAAAAGCGACGTGATTGCAACCTAATGGTGACCTGGATTGTCCAAGATTCTGCCATCCAGATTGATTTACATCTTGGGGCACCCTCTCCACCCGCGCGGGAAAAGAAGCACGGTCCAAAATGGTCCCGGGCTCGAATCCCGGGCTGGTCGCGGCGCGGTCCCGGCCAATGCCCTTGCTTTTTCGTAGATTTTGTGACGTTTTCTGTTGGATTTATGGGATTTTCAAAGGCTTCTCCAGCATTTTCCTAGGAATGCTCTAGGCTTTGTCTAGATTTTGTTACGTTTTCGGCTGGATGCTTTTCCAAGAATTTTCTAGCGCTTCCTCTTGTTTTTAGGTTCCCAGATTTCCCCCCAAAATTGGTAACCTTTTGCTAACCTATGGAACTTTGCTTTTCCAATATTTTCCTAGGAATGCTCTAGGCTTTGTCTAGATGTTGTTACTCCCCCCCCGGCCTACCGCACTGCAGACATTCCGCCACGCGCGCGTGCCGCCCGCGTGTACATGGCTACGGTCTCTTCCCTGGCTGGCGCGAGAAGCTCGCCATCACCTCCCCGAGCTTCCGTTTGCGCTGCTCCGTCCTAGAACCAACACGCCACATGGCGCGGACACGGGCGCCTGACAGGCATGCGAAAATCTTACCAGAGCCTTTCACGTTGCCACGGGCACTGGCTGGACCTCGTCCAGCGCAAAATCTAGACAAAGCCTAGCGCATTCCTGGGAAAATTCCAGGGCATTGGCCGGGATTAAAAATAAGTTCATCAATTTTTGAGCAAATCAGGGAACCTACATGCAAGAGGACATGCTAGATAATTCTACAACCATGGAAAAAAATTGGGGAACTCCTACCCGGGGGCGGTCTAAGGCTAAGGCTAAGTCTAACGCTAAGGCTAGGCTAAGGTTAAGGCTAACATCGACAGTCACGCCTCACCCCACCTCTCTGCCTGGAGCAAGGCTAGCGCTATTCTATCCCTTGGGGGTCGGCGGCTGCAGGCGGTAGCCTGGTAAATACATGTTTTGTTTTTGTGGGATGTTGTCCGGTATGATGCGTCAAGGCGTCAAGTCTTTGCCCTCCTTCAGCTCAAGGCTACTCTTTCAGAACTGCTTACTTCGCCCAAGGCTGATTGCAGCCTGTCTCCTTTGGATTTCTTGTACGCTGCGCCTCCGGAGCTGATCCAACCTGGATCCTCCCCAGCGGTTTCAACTGATCCGGTCCTGCACAGAAGAATAATGCTTCATCACCTCAAAGTTCCGAGACATTCGTCGGTGGCCACGGTCGGGTGTCCATTCGTCGGTGGCCCGTCGGTGTCCCTTCGAACCGGCTGCTCCAAGTCTGAAAAGCACCTACATGGGGTGTGCCTCACGTTGCTTTGACCTCAAACCTGTCATGATCTTTCCAGGATTCCATCCTTCTTGGCAAGAAGTTCTTAGCGATCAGGCCTATCCTATCATCCAACTCTAGATCTGATCCACCACCCCGGGCTGCCTATCTTCCCTCCCCACTGAGCTGCAGCACTGCTTGTGATCGCAGATCGTTGGCCCACCCGGCGGTCAGACGGTTCCTTGCGATTGCGTCGCATGCTGGGAGACCTTGAAGTGGAAGCTTGGCCAAGCTTCTCAGAATGGGTTGGGAGACCTTGAAAGTTATAGTGCAATACTTTGGGTACGCCGGGAGACCTTGAAAACTTCCCAACAAAGGGGCTGTCCTCATCTTCTTTGGTGCGGAATGGGTGAAATGTTCTCCTTGTGGAAGGGTATACTCTCCTTAAAACATGGACTGGAACCAGTCAAACCTGTGCCGTCCTTTACATGGCAGAACATTTGGAGATGTTTGATCCACCGTGGGACGGCCCCTCCCACCAAGTAGATTGACTGATGGATCTGCGCCCAGCTGCGGCGTGCATGGAGGCAGCTTGTCGATCGACATCAGCTCCTGGGGCGATGGTAAAACTAGGTAACTAGGACAACAAATGAAGAGGGAAATGGAGTCAAAACCACCGGTATTCGGAAAATTTGTCATCCAAGAAGCCATGTTCATCCATTATCCACTTCATTCCACTTCCATTCATTTTTATTTTAAGCAAGTGAACTGTCGAGGATTTCATAGGTATCCGAAATCGGGGCCATGCAATTCCCGCTTCATTCCACTTAACCATGATGATGTCATGTTCTAGGGGCTCCTGGCCTTACTACTAACTAGGAGCAAAGACGCTACTA